CGATAGCATCTCATTTCGAGGCGAGCATGCGATCAGAAATTTATCGAGAAATTAAATTAGGAATTATGCTAATATCCCCCTCCCCCATCGCCCTATATAGACGGCACCTCACCCGGAGTCGACCGCCGTGAATGAGCGGCAGCGACGGCGGCGTCGCGTTTCCCCGGTTATTTATGCGTTATTTGCGCCATCCAATTAAAGGCACCTTTCGCAAGACTGCTCTCGTATGGCGTGCAACGTAATTTGCTGGATCGACATCGCATTATTCTCGGATCGTTCCCAGCATTTTCGGGAGATGTGGATTCAAAGCGAACTTTTTGTTTTTAATTTAAATGCAACACCGTATTAAAATCAATTTGTTTATCATTACAGTAAATTGAACGACGGATTTTTTTGTATCTGTAAAAAAATATATACAAAAAGATTGTTTTGAATCGGGACGAATATTTTCGTATGTAAGCAAGAATAATTATAATTATAATTATAATTTTCTTAAAAATTTTAATCTTGATTTGATTGAATTTTGCATTGACATATTACCTTTGCTCAGCTCAAGATTAAAAATCTTTTATATAAAGATTATAATATTCTTGTTTATATATATGAGATTATCAATCTATATTCGCATCAATACAAATTCAATTAAATCAAGACGAAAATTCTCTAAGAAGATTACAATATTAAATTACAACAGAAAATTTTAGTCTTGATTTTTTTTTATATATGAGTATATATAATCTCTATCGAAGGCTAATTTTTTCCGTGTAGATAATTCAGGCAATTAAAATAGTGGCAATAAATGTTACCTAATTTAAATAATTCAAATTTGCTTAAAAAGATAAATTTGCTTATGTGTTTTCAATGATATAGCTGAAACTCATTGATCCTAATTTTATTTTATACGCGCCGGTCGACGTGTGAAAGATAACGGCGAAGGCGCGGCTAGTTTTATTAATCGGCTGGTCCGTATATAAATAAGGTTTACTTCGAAATTCCATGATGGTCACCGAGATCGATTCGTCTCCACTTTTCGTGGAGACAACAGCGACTCACGTAGGACCATCCGCAGATAGAATCTCTTCGCATTCCTAACATTTTTTATAATCCTTGACGTTGATCTCCACGTGGACGACGTGAGCATGAACAGAATGATCAAAGTGAAAAACTGGCTTATTTAAATTTTATTCAATATGATATATTAAAAACGAAAATGGCGAACTGTGAAATATTTTATAAAATGTATATTATATGATCATATAACGTCAATACATTATACTATAATACACAAAATTTATGATATAAATATTAAAATTGCAAATTTATTTCTGTTATTTTATATAGATAATATATTTTATTAATCATATAATATTTTCAATTAAAAATCCTTGAAATTGATCGACGCTTTAATATTTTGTGACTTCACGACTGCTTTTACAAAATACGCGATTGAATTTAGTACATTCATAGTTATAAAAAAAAACTAAAAAAAATAACGAAGCGAAAAGTGATTTAAAAGACCTCGTAGAATTGTATAGGCATAATTATTAATCATTCTCCTCGCAAGAGAGTTACCTCGTCCAAGTTTCCAATCATTTAAGAGACTTCTCTTCTCGAATCCACGTGGCCGTCGAGAAAAGAGAAGGACGAGAAAAGCGTCGATCCTGGAGACGCGGAGTAAGTGTCATGGCGATGCAGCTTCGAAATAAATGTCTCCTACACGCGATGAGTCACAAATCCTAATGAAAATAATAATACCCGAAAGATTCCGTTCTTTCGTGGCCGCGTGGTGCAACGAGGATAAATTTACTGCGCGATCTACGGACGGATAAGGCATACCTGGGGACACCTCCATCCGGTTATAGGTTCCACCATGTAACGGGTGGTACGAAGAAGATCTTTACGATAAATCGGCCCCACGCCATCTCGGATCTCGCCTTTACGCGACGATATAGAAATCGATGATGTTTTCGAACTAATTAGAAATCGCATCTCTAATCGGACTGAAATCGACACAATTCTGATTATAGATATTACCATGTAACGGACGATGTTTTAGAAAAAAAAAAAATAAATGTGATAACGCAGTTTTATGCATACCTTGTTTCAATGTATACAGAATCTTATTTTTACTTTATATATGATTACAATACATATATGATTCTCTATTGGGAATTATTTCTTTGGAGATTGATAATCTCGATAAATTTATTTTTATGTCAGTGTGAATTTTACCAATAATCATAGTTTCAGTGTAGAGAGAGAGAGATAATTTTTTTATAATCACATTAAAGACTTCAGATTTATATTAACTTAAATTCTTATATACGAATAAACTGATATACTTGTATGATATACTTCTATTGATTTTTAATATTATTTTTAATATTTTCAAATTGGAATAAATAATGGATTTAAAAAGTTTAATACATTGTGTCTACACAATTGAAATTACACATCTGGATTCTTTATTTTGTCTTTTTAATGTTAGCTCGATTAGAAATTTTACGGTGATATACCGCAAACTAAACGGAACTTTTATCAGTATTGCTCTTCAATGTTGCGATATCGAAAATCCCCAGATATCCCGTGCTCCCTTATCACCTCGGTAGTTTCTCTGTCGTATCAAAGATCGGTTCTCGGAAACACCCCGTAGACAAGTGTCGCAACACTTGCCTCGAACGGTGCGGTATCACCAGTCTCACGTCTAAACGACTTGTAAAACAAGCGCTTAACGATTGCTGGTACCTGGAGGAGATAGGAGGAAGAGAGAGAGAGAGAGAGAGAGAAGAGAGAGAGAGAGAGAGAGAGAGAGAGAGAGAGAGAGAGAGAGAGAGTAGAGTAGAAGGAGAAGTAGGCAAAGGGTTCGGCCGGGCCCGTAGGTCCCACGTGCTCAACGGAGGTCCAGGCCGCTAAATTGACGTTACGAGACGCCGAGAGCGTCTCTCTCGCCTTCTCTTCTCTCATGCCCTTTTTTCCTCTTCCCTTTCCGCTGCGCGCACCTCTTTAAGACCGTACCTTGCCTCCCTACGCGCTCGGTGTCCGCCCTTAATTCACAAGTACGAAAGAGGCAGGATGTACCTTCTTCCCGGTACTTTACGCGCCGGTACCGGCTTTATCTTAACCGATATTATTTCGATTCCCCAGCCACGCCGATCGGCATCGCCGGTTTGCTCGCGAGGCGCTGCTTTAAACGCTGACGCTCGCGCCTGCGGATGCAATTAAATCGGGGCCCCTGGGATGTCTTTATAACGGGATAATGAAGAACGTGTTTCTAATGGGAATCGGTGACGAGCGCGTATTATAATATTTTGCAATCGGCATCATTCTTAATGGCGCGGCTTATGCATATTTATTCATAGGGCGATAACTTTTCAACATACTTATAAATTTCTGAGTAGAATGTATTAATATATACATTATTCTTCTCTAACTGGTTAACGATCAGTCGTTTCATTGATTCTTACAATTTAGTTTCTTGTAATTATTATTATTATTTTTTTTTTTAATTTAAACGCATGAATAATGTATGAATAAAGAGAGGAAGACGAATGATAAAAGAAGAATACTCATTAAAGATCATACTTGCAGGAAAAAAAGAAAGCAGCTGCCGTTGCTAAAAACTGCATGTGGTAACTATATATGTTGTAATATATGGATAGCTAATATCTTAGTTGTGATACCTGTATTATTTGCTATCCTATTTACTATATTAGGAGCAAAAATAAAACGATTTGCTGTTGCTCCTGATACATAAATATAGTAGCAAATAATATAGGTATCACAATTAAATATTAGCTATCCATATATTACAACATAATATAGCTATGACAGCTATTTTCTTTTTTCCGTGTGATAATGATATATATTAACATGACAATTAATATATATTAATATATATTAATATATATTAATTGATATATATGTTAATATAACAATTTGTTAAATGAACTCGCGTTTGGTCCACCGTTTTTCAACTTGCAACTTATTTCTTGTACCTTATGCGAAATTTCTTTTCAAAAAATGACTATTTTTATGAAAGGCAAACGCTACTTTCACTGGTTTCAGTGGCCAAAGAGAGGATAAAACGCACGGCGGGGGTCTCGGAGATTCCAGCAGCGAGAGCGGTGACGAAACGAAGCGGCAGTCGAGCCAGCAGCAACAGCAGCAGCAACCGTCTTCCTGCGCGGTTCACGCAACAGCAGCAGCAGCAGCAGCAGCAGCAGCAGCAACAAATGGTGGACCATCAGCAAACCTCCGGCATGTATCAGCTTCCGCCACCAGCTTCCGTCTCGGTTTCCAGCCCGCACTCGTATCACCAAGGCCACGGCTCGTCCTTGAGCCATCCGCACATGCAGGCACCACGACACGAGCAGCGAGAGCGGCGACGACAAGAGGAATCTCCATCATCAGCTACAGCATCATCTTCAGGTTGGCACTCACGGCCC